GTATTGTCTCCAACCTCCACATCCCAGCAGTGTGTTCCTGAGTTAAAGCCCTCAGAACCCAGAACACATCCATACCTGTCAAACCTCTCTGGATTATCAGGAAGATTTTGACATAAATCACTGAACGACACACTGGTCAAATCAGAAGAGAGTGTGAGCCAAGGATGTGCTGTCTTTGGATCTAGAGTCAATGGAGCTGCAAAGAGAATTAAATCAGATGAGAGGATATGATGGTATATTAGAAATACAAACCTATTTACATAAACATACACCATGAAGAATAGACTGTTTTGTAGTCATCATGAGTTTGCAGTATGATCTGATGATCTTATGAAATACAGTTCAGATTCACTTGAACTCCATAGAATTTCAAGTGATTATTACATTTATGCATTTATTTATTTTTATCATGCATGTTAATCAGTCTGTCTTTGTTTATATCTGCAGTATTTAATCGTTTGTACTGCTGTCAGATTTTCTAGAGACTCACTGTGTTGGAGAGTTTCCTGCATCTTCTTCCAGACTCTGAACCGCAGGTCACTCAAGTAATGTGACGCATGAATCAAAGCTCCAGAACTCATCTGTGGATCCGGCTGTGAGATCTGGACTCTGGAAGAACATTCAGGAGTCAGAACTGCAGTGGATTTGAGTTCAGATCCACTGAGAGAAGAAACACCAGCAGCTCAACTTACCTTTCCATCGTGATGCTAAAGTCCTGGAAAATATAGAGTTTGAAAGACATTTTAATATCTCATCAAACAGTTTAATCACTGGTTGGGTAATTGGTGAGTTGTTTTGTGCACAAACAATGAAGCTAAATTCAGTTGTCACCTTCAGAAAGCAGGCATCGCTGGCTTTCATCATCTCCTCCGTGTCTTTGATTGTGTGTGAAAGAGCTGAGATGTGTCTGTTCATCTCCTCCAGCTTCTCCTTCATCATCTGCTGCTTCTGCTCCTCTTCCTCCCTCAGTGCAGTGATTGTAGCTTCTTCTTCATCTCTGAGAAACTGATGAAGCTTCTCAAACTCCTCTTTAATCTGACGCTCTGTGTGCTCAGCTTGAGACTGAAATCACATCACATTCACTTCAGTCAGCTCTGCATTAACACTCACTCCATTAATGTCCATCATAAACTCTCTGAATGTTTGACTCTCGATATCCTCACCTTGATGTGTTGAACTGTTTTATTACACTCTGCTTTCATTTTTTCTGCATATTTGAGCTTGTTTTGTAAAGATGTCAGTGCTGTATTCAGTTCCTCCTACAAGTTAAGATGAAAATCTGTGAAATTTATGTTGCTAAGAGCTATATTTGGATATTTGTATTATTATTTATATTCATATGATGTATGGTCATTCTCAGAAAATAGTCACATTTGTGGCTAAAATTTGCAGGACATATATTTTTAAATTATTTAACATGTAAAGGATGAATATTCTAACTGGATTATTGTACATAAACATGTTACTAGCAAATCACTGTCCTTAGCATATGAAATTAAAAAAAAATGTGTCTCACCTTGTGAGATGAAAGCACTTCACTGATGGGTCTGAATGTGTGATTGACGTGTTTCTCTGAGTCTCTGCACACTAAACACACCGGCTGTTTGTCCTCCAGACAGAAGAGTTTGAGTTTCTCACTGTGTAAACTGCAGATCTCCTCAGATCCTGATGAGCGCCTCTCGTTTCGCTCCTTTATCAGTGAATCACACAAGTTTTTTAACGCTAGAATACTCAGAGGTTCTTGTTTTGAGGATCTTCTTCTGCAGACAGGACACTCCTGAGTTTTCTTGATTCTCCAGAACTGTTGAAGACACTCTTTACAGAAACTGTGACTGCAGGACAGAATAACAGGATCCTTGACGATTTCACAGCACACGGGACAAGAAAGCTCTTCCACAGACTTTGAATCCATTTCCTTTTCTTCTGCAACGATCTACAATTTACTTTCACTTTCTGAATTTTGGTTTGAAAAGTAAATAATTACAATTACAATCAAAATCTATTCTGTTCAATACACTTCTCAAAAATCCTCAGTTATAGTGTCCTCCTCTGATCTCCACAACATTGACTCTTTTTAGCTTTCAGTATGATATGTAAGGGAGAAATCATAAGACTAGTCACTTCTTGGTAGGGTAAAGGTTGTGAGAGGGTGGAGTTTCTGATGGGCTTTTGGAGCTTCTGAATACAGACTGAGTGTCTGAATGTATAGTTTATTTAACTCTATTTGTGCTTCCATCTCCTGGACTCAATGAACTGAAAAAAGGATGTTAAGAAAGTAAAGAAACAATATACTGTAGAAAATAAAATATCTCGGTCATTGTAAGAGAATTAAATCCTATATAATAATGTTAATAAAATATGTATTAATGTGGAGTGAGATTGTGAATGTTTCTTTTTATTATGCCGGTAAAGGGAAATACCCTGTCAATATACCCTGTCAGTAGCAGTGCAATAATTAAATAACTACAACAACAAACACTCTAAAAAATCATTCAGTGGAAATGTTACCACAACTTAAATAATCATGGTAGCAAGTTTAAAACGTCAGCAGTCTGCGACCTTCTCTCAATGCAAACACTGTTTATGACATATTTCTTTGTAGTTTGTTTTAGCTTAAAGTTTTTAAATTTTGCTTCAGTCATATCAGATGTGAACAGACATTATTGTCGATTCAATTTGTAAATCAATCCATTCAATTCTGTCATTTTGACTCTTGTGTGCAGAACTGATTCAAATGCAACACTGGCTTTTAAAAACAACAACAACAACAGAAACATGGTATTATCATTGTACTTTTGAGACCTTTTTGTTAATGTAATCATAATTGAACTAAATGTCTTAATTTTCTTTAAAAAAAAGTTGTGCATTTATTATTTGATGCAGCAGTTTCTTTTGACTTTAGTTTGATGTAGGGACTATTTGACAAGTCATGTAATATCTGTCATTTTGATCATGCAGTACTTTTTAGACAGTTGATGCAGAAGTCCTGCAGGGCCATTTTAAACATACTGCGCACGGGAACTGCTGTAAAGTACTTAGTATGTAAGTTTTTGTTGTGTTCATCCACATATGAAGATTTATTTAACCTTATATTAAATTATTTAGTGTGCCTGACTTATAGCAGGGGTCACCAGACACAATCCTGGAGGGCCGGTGTCCTGCAGAGTTGTTGTGTCCAGTAGATGGCGTTGTAGGCTTGTTCTGATGCTGTGCCTAAAGGAAACGGAGAGTAGAGTAAAAATGAGTTCATGGAAGAAACGTGTCCGTGTCTGTATGTTCTGAGTATTAATTTATTTGAGAGAATACTACATATTGGCAACGAGGATGGCGAGTGTTCCTGCCCCTCCACCATTTCTGCAAAATGTAGGCGAGCCACCAATTCCTTTTGATATGTGGCAAAAGATTTTTTCAAACTACCTAGTGGTAATAAATGCTTCAGGAAACACATGGCCTGATGCAAGGCGTCGTGCAATTCTACTACATTGCCTGGGCACCGAAGGTCAAAGACTTTTCTACACATTACAGGACACAGGAACAACGTTTGATCATGCAATGGAAGCGCTTACAAAACATTTTGTTCTGAAATTGAACGTTGTTGCATGCCGACATAAGTTTCGCCAAAGATCACAAAGAAATGACGAGACTGTGCCTCAGTACATTTCTGCACTACGGGAGTTAGCTGTCCAGTGTCAGTACGGTGCTATGGAGCAAGAAATGCTGCGAGATCAGCTGGTGGAACAATTGTGGCTGCCTGCAGTTCGAGACAGA